ATGTGAAGAAATCAAACATGTGCTGAACAAACAGTAAAGTTCTTAAAGAAAAACTGTTAAAGGAGGAAACAAAGCAAACTTACAGTTTCTTCACACACCATAAGAAAAGGTGGAGAACAACAGAAACCGTTTTCAGTAGAAAGGTATGATTTGATTTATTTGAAGAGATCAGAGCATTATTCTGATTATTAAGCTTAAGTCAAATATACTAATGCGCACGGCGCCGTGACACTTAATGATCTGTTATTGTACATTTGTCACATGTGTGTATTTGTTGTTGTATTTGATTGATTGATTGATTGATTGATCATACTTTATTCATCCCGAGGGAAATTGGGTTAAGGCTGCCAGCCATGCCAGCGCCATCTTACCCTTCCGACCATACATACATTACACAAACATCACATGGGGAAGACAGGTCAGAGAGGTATAACATGGAAAAAGCACCACATGAGGAAAGATAAGGAGAAAAAAAAATAACTCCCCCCAGTCTGAGCTCCAATAGGGAGATCAGTTTCAAATCAAATCACTTTTTATTGTCACATCACATGTGCAGGTACATTGGTACAGCACATGCGAGTGAAATTCTTGTGTGCGAGCTTCACAAGCAACAGAGTTGTGCAAAATACAATAACATAAACAGGCAAAATATATGAATGGCTAAATCTGAAACTAATAAATATATGTACAATATATAATAGTATATGCAAAAAAAAAATAAAAAATTTCTGGATGTGTATACTAAATGTTTTTCTACGTGTGTGTGTGTGTGTGTGTGTATACACATATTTTACAAATTAAATAGAGTCAATAAATAAAATATATAAAAATATACAGCATTGTAAATACAGTCTCAGACAGTAAAAAACACCTCTGAACAAAAGCGACACAAAATGCAACACTTGAAATCACAAGAATTCAATCAATTCAGTTTTATTTATATAGTCTACCAATCACAACAACAGTACACTGAAGCCTTTATATCATGTAAGGTAACAGCCTACAATAATTATAGAGAGAAAGCCCCAACAATCATATGACCACCACTATGAGCAGCACTTTGGCTGACTGGTGGGAAGAAGAACTCCCTTTAACAGAAGACCTCCGGCAGTAACAACAGGCTCAGGGAGGGGCGGGGCCATCTGCTGCGACCGGTTGGGGTGAGAGAAGGAAGACAGGATAAAGACATGCTGTGGAAGAGAGACAGAGATTAATAACAAGTGTGATTCAGTGCAGAGAGGTCTGTTAACACATAGTGAGTGAGAAAGGTGACTGAAGAAGAAACACTCAATGCATCGCAGCCTCCTATTGCAGCATAACTAAGGGAGGATTCAGGGTCACCTGGTCCAGCCCTAACTATATGCTTTAGCAAAAAGGAAAGTTTTAAGCCTAATCTTAAAAGTAGAGATAGTGTCTGTCTCCTGAATCCAAACTGGAAGCTGGTTCCACAGAAGAGGGGCCTGAAAACTGAAGGCTCTCCCTCCCATTCTACTTTTAAATACTCTAGGAACAACAAGTAGGCCTGCAGAGCGAGAGCGAAGTGCTCTAATAGGGTGATATGGTACTACAAGGTCATTAAGATAAGATGGGGCCTGATTATTTAAGACCTTGTATGTGAGGAGCAGGATTTTGAATTCAATTCTGGATTTAACAGGAAGCCAATGAAGGGAAGCCAAAACAGGAGAAATATGCTCTCTCTTTCTAGTCCCTGTCAGGACTCTTGCTGCAGCATTTTGGATTAGCTGAAGGCTTTTCAGCGAGTTTTTTGGACATCCTGATAATAATGAATTACAGTCGTCCAGCCTGGAAGTAATAAATGCATGAACTAGTTTTTCAGCGTCACTCTGAGACAGGATATTTCTAATTTTATGGAGATGTTGCGCTGGTCTCCACCGTCAGCATCGGAAGGGAATAAGCGTCAAAAGGCATTTGGAGGGGGATGAGTGATGTGTGTGTGTGTGTGTGTGTGTGTCCAGAGTTCAGCTGAGACAGTGTCCTTCGCCCTGCCAGGCTAAGTAAACAGTCTTCCAGCCAACCCAGGTGGCCTTGCATGGAATGGGAAGAACAGACTAAACACAGTCGTTATCAGGGTGTTGTTGTTAGGCTCCAGCCTTGAGACCGCAGCTGGCGCCGATGGGGTCTCCGCATGAAGTGATGGTGGTTTTTACTTTAGTGCGAACAACTCATATGAATTTCAAAGCTGTTCTTTAACAGTCCGACACTGGTCTCTCAATCTCCCGTTTGAGAGCTGTGAGCTTCTCCATGATGTTATCAAACTTATGCTCCGTGATGTTGTCATTCTTGTGCTCAAAGAGGTGACGTAAGTGAGTGCACCGTTAGTGACAACAGCTGTGTGCAGATCAACAATGGATCATATATCGAGTGCGGGAGAGAGTATGAGCGTGCAGCATTTAAAGCGTGGAAGTACTGACCTTACTTTAAGTTTGATTCCATAAAAAGTGACAAAAACATTAGCGTCCGTTGTGCGTGGGAAGAAAACTTCTTTTTACAGCGAAAAAACCCCTAAACTTCCAACAAGCACCGAGTAGCTACGACGTAATGGGAAACTCACAGAGAAACTCGCGGATTCTTCCACTGACCGCGGCACACCTGCACCAGGGTAAACCTCCGCCTACTCCTGCTTTACAGGTGAAAATAGAGCAACAGGACCGCTAGTCTTTGATGTTATTTATTTTCTGCTGTGTTTTACTTGCATCTATTTGAAAGAGTGAGTGTAAACACACACACAAAAAAAATTATGTGCTGGAATGTGCAGAAAATAAGTTTAAATGTTAAACAAATTTCTTCCAGTCAGAGAATGTTGCATATAATTAAATTTTTGCTTGATGCATAAAGTTAAAAGATTAAAACTAATAAAACAAGTTTTAAAAAGAGACTTTTCCATTTGATTACATTTTGTATGATGGATTATGCAGAAAAAGTAGAATTGGGCTGAAAGATCTATCGCTTTATCACCTATTCAGGTTGTAAATCGTGTTTTTAAAAAGTAACTAAGTAATTAATTACTTTTGAAAATAAGTAATCAGTAAAGTAACGGGATTACTTTTTTGGGGAAGTAATCAGTAATTAGTTACTGATTACTTTTTTCAAGTAACTTGACCAACACTGCTCACGCAACCATATTAAACTTATCGCTGCACTCAATGAGCCCATTTTGAGAAACTCACGCCTCTTCCCATCGTTTCAATCCCAGCGGGCAGCCTTGTGGGGGTTTGAACAGCCGGTTCCGCTTTCTTAATTCTTCGATAAGTCAGGGCCAAGCCAGCTCCGATCAGCAAGAACCCTGTTACCATGGTTCCGAATAGGTAGATATCTTCAGCACTCAGGCTCACCCGAGCCCAAACTTCTCGTTGAGAAAGGGGTGTCAATTGCATTTAGGGACCAGTTGATCCAATCCATAATTCCTCTTTTAGGTTTTAGAGAACAGACTGTGAGAGAGTGTTCCAGGGAAAAGTAATACAAAAAACACGAGACTAGACAAGGACATAAGAGGCTAAGCAGGGAAGCTGAGGGAGAGGAGGAGGAGGAGGAGGAGAGGGGAAAAGTGTGACCACCTTCGTCAAGAGCAAGAGAAGTAGTCCATCATCTGGTGTCCCCACTGTGGACTTCTCTGACCTCCTCTAAGGACACCAGAACAGGATCTTCCTTTGGTTCAACACGACTCACCAGGAGGCACGTAGGAGCTGTGAGGAGATGACATCATCACAGTGATCACATGACACACACGTGTTGGTAGAGTCTGTCTAATTACTCACACTCTGGGGAACATCCAGGTCCACCATGTTTGTAGTTTTCTCCTTCCCACTGTAGCTGTGTTTGAACAGTGTGTGCACACATGCTCTTCATCCACCCACAGTGACTCCACGCTGGTACAGAGCTCTCCTCTAACCTGTCACATACTTACAGGGATGTATTTCCACAGTCAGTCTGGCTCTGGCAGAGTCACCTGTGGGCTCCACCTCTGTGTGGACTTTCACACTGAGAGTGGGGACATCAGCAGGTGTTGGGATGTTGTAGGTGGCACAAATCTGGGAAACAAACAGAACCAATCACAGCTCAGTGCAGCCTGCTGTCACTTTTCTACACCGTGACACTTTAATATTTATATCTCTATATTTATCTATTTATCTTAATATTTATCAATCAATATCTCTGTTTCTCATTTTGTATCAGTGCTTGATGTTTGTTGTGTGTTTGCTGCTCCGACAGCTCAGTTTCCCTCTGGGATGAAGAAAGTTTCTCTGATTCTCATGGAGACACAAAGTGACTTTATTGATTGTTAATTTAGTGTCAAACAGAATTGTACTGTGTGCAGTTCTTACTGTCAGCTCTAATGTTGTCTATGAAAACACATTTATTCCATGTGAAAATGCTTCTTTAGCGTTTTATAAGTACAAAGAAACAAAGAAATCCTTTGTTTGACACCAACCAGGACCTGGTCACATGATGCTGTCACTGACCTGCACTGAAGCACATGCAGCTTCACCTCCAGCCTGTGTTTTCCTGACACGTCCTGCAGCGCCTCCTCCTGGTAGAACAGTTTGTTGCCCTGATTTCAATCAAATGTCAGCTGACTGCTGGAGCCTGAACTGTCCCTGCGCTCCAACCTTCAGGACTGAACACCAGAGTGGAGCAGAGAGCCTGAAGAGCCTCCACTGTGTCCTACAGGATGGATTCATTTTGACATGAAGTTCAAACTGCCTGTGTCACTTCAACACACTCTCACAAAGAGTTTCTAACCTTCACTTCCTGGTTAAATAAAGGTTAAACAGGTTAAACATGTTTAACAGAGATGATCTCAGAGAAACAAAGCAGAGAAATCACAGGTATAAACTTACAGACTGCAGCTGAGCTGTTATTTACAGGCTGTTACGTGTAGTTGGTGCACAGAAGGCTGTTCTGTTAAAACAACACATTTTTAGACCAAAGTCAATTTCATCTTGTAAATAAAGAATAAAAACATCCCTGCCTGCTAAAACAAGTCTGTATATCTGAGAGAAAAGCAACAACATGAAAGCTTCAGGATTATTTCTCCTGATTTGGTCCAAGACTGTATGAAAAGCGATGGACTTCATTAGTTGTGAAGTTCACCTCTCATCCGAGAAGCTTCTTCAGTTCTAGAGTCAAATGGTCGAGAGTCACAGATTTAAGCCCTGTGGGAGTGTCCCCCCACCGAGAGGGACAAAGGACCCCCTAATGATCCTCTACCTAATCACATGAGTCAAGGTGTGATGTCATGTGATTTCCTGAGGTCAGATGGCCCAGGATGTGAGTGGGCGTTAAGGCATCTGGGAAGGAACTCAAAACTGGATTATAGATGGTCACTCACAGTGGACATAGATGACTTCTTTCACTCCTCTTTCAAACCATCTGTCCTCTCTGTCCAAAATGTGAACATTGGCATCCTCAAAGAGTGACCTTTGACCTTTAGATGCAGATGGACTGCTGAGTCTTGTCCTGTGGAGGTGGCTCTTCTGTGTTTTGCGCTTGTGAAGTGGCTGTTTGGTCTCTCCAATGTAGAGGTCTGGGCATTCTTCGCTGCACTGTACAGCAAACACCACATTGTTAAGTTTGTGTTTAGGAGTTTTGTCTTTGTTGTTTGAGTGACTGAATCAGGAACTCTGCCTCCTTTTGTTCTCACACTGGGTTTAATGAAAGAAGGTTTCTGTTTGTCCATTAAAGTTCTTTGTTGTGATCTTTTAAAGGATCCTGTGATGATCCAGAGCCTGGCTTGTCTCCAGGAGTCTCTCAGTGACCTGAGCAGCAGCTACAGCTCTGCTGGCCTCTGTGTTCACCCTGCAGGAGACGTGGAGACCGCGTCACCTTCTGCAGCACTTAGACACAGCTGCAGTGAGGGAAGGTGAGTCATCCTTTAGCAGGACATCATTCAGGCTTTATTAGCATCACTGTGACTGTTATTGTCACGGACCCGGTTCCGGGGACTTGGGGTCCGTGAGCAGACCTTTAGTATTACTATTGCTGTTATTGTTGTTGTTGTTATTATTATTATTATTATTATTGTATTGGATGTATGTTTGCTGCACTGTGCTCTTGTGTTCCATGCTGGTGTGTGTACGTGGGGGTGTCTGCGGGTGTGGCTGAGGGATGAAGGACAGCCACCTGCAGACCTGATGGGCGTGGCCCTGCCGGCTGCCGGTCACGCCTAGGTTCTCACACACCTGCTTCTGATCGGGCTCGTCGGGGGAGCTACTTAACAGAGCGATGGAGCTTCCTCCGGCGCAGGATCGTTGAGTTAGACTCCATGTCAGTGTTTAAAGTACTGGTCAGTGTATGCCTGCTGGAGTTGGTGCCATAACGGCGGTGTCTGTTGTTTTTCCCTCAGGAGAGCGGAACACGGGACTGCAGGACGCACAGGGTGTGCGTAGGCACGGGAGCAGAGAGCACGGAATACCAGCACTTAGGGGAAGACACGTCACGGGAGTCGAGGGAGCACTTTGGAGATTTATTGTATGGTGTACATTTACCTCACTGTAAATAAACCCACTGCTCATTCCACTAAGTCCAGCGTTTGGGTCCTTTCTCCAACATTCCCCACGGTCTGCCAGCCAGACCGTGACAGAACGATCCTGCCAGATGGACCCAGCGGACTTTTCGGAGAGGTTCAGGAGGGAGGTGACAGACAAAGTAAATCGTCTGTGTGACCTGTGGCTGGAAGCGCACGCAGAGGCTTTACGGTGGTTCATTTTTGCCATTAAATCTCTGCCTAATAGATTCACAGGCGAGTTTGGAATAATTACGAATGGATGATATGTGATTTCATCTGGTTTTGGGCCCCAGCGTGTCTTTAGAGAATGAGTTTTAGGGCATTGCACTACAGTTCCGTTAATTCCCATAGTGTTGATGCACACAGAGGAAACAGGCCCATTATAGAATTTTCCAGACAGTGAACTTTTAGTGGCTCCACTATCCACTAAAAATGGGTATTTCTTACCATCTATTTCTACCTCTAGTATGGGAAAGTGCTCTGTGTTAGGGGACAGTTACAAATGCAGCATCATGTGTAGTGCTTCACACTGCTGTCCCTCACCCTCACCTGGGCCTCCCTATTGGATTGTATCAGATGATGGGAAGAGATCATGGTGGGAATTGTAACGCACCCTCTCCCATTCTGATTCATGCTCTGGGTGCCTGCGGCTGCTGGAAAACTGAGCTAAATTTGCACCTCTAGCTTGTCTACCTTGTGGGTTATAATGCGGATTATAAGGCTGCTGCCTAGATGTGGGGCCATTATTGCGTGATTCCTGTTGTTGCCAGTTACCTTGACTGGAGGAGCTCTGCTGACGCCTAGTGGCAGGAGCTTGTCCTGCATTTTGTGGTTGAGGCGCGCGTGCTCTATTGGAAGCTGCGAATCGACACTCCCTAGACCAATGTCCTATCTTTCCACAGCAAAAACACACATCTCTACTCTTATCTTTCCGTCCTCTGAAACCTCCCTGCTGTGCTGGGGCAGGTGGTACTCCTGCATACATTAGTTTCTCACTTCCTTCTGGATCTGCAACATCAAAATTCAGCATCATTTTAACACTTTTAGTAGGGTAGTAGGGAAAAGTTCTGCACTGGCCTTCAGTTTTACAAGCTTTAAAAAAGCATCTTTACTCAGTTCATAGAGATTATTAGTAGCTGTCACTTTTAGCAACTGAGAGCATTCAGGGTGGACATTGTTCAAAAAGGTAGTAATGAAAATCTGATCATTTCAATCCTCAGGCATGCATGCCTCATTGGTCCAACAGTGCATAAAGCGTTTTATGAATACTAGGATAGATTCATCAGGCTTTTGTTTACACATAGTTACTGCATTTAAGTCAATTTTATCTCTAGACATTGTGAGCAGAAATTTCTTTAGATTTTAAAGAAAGCTCGTGATTTTGTCATGTATTTACCCACAAAAACCTGCAGGTTGTGGTGCTTTTCATGTTTTAGGGTCTAATTCACTCTATCTCTCTTCAATAGAGCTTGATGATCGGTCTACATCCGGAATGATTGACACAATATATACCTAGTAATCGGCCCACCCAAGTGGTGTATCTGGTACTTCTCTGTATGCAGAAACAAAGGCTGTAGGATTTTTTATCGGACCTGTCATCTAGGTCTTTGAATTATTCTGACCCATGTTCAGTGATTTCCAGAGGGGTTTACACGCTTGAAGGATTTATGTTAGTATTTTTTTGCTGCGGCACACCTGAGGTTACGTTTTTAGCAATTTTATTTTGTGAGCAACTTCTCACTTAACGAGCAACTTCTCGTTTTATAGCATTTTGTTCTGTGGTGAGCAACTTCTATTAACAGCAGGCAACTTCCTGTGTCTTCTGCTTTAATTTACAACAGGCAACTTCCTGTGTTTCTATGGGGACTAAAGAAGTCTCTCAGTGTATCCCACTGTTACTATTGGGCCACTGAGAAGCTTCGTCAGCTATCCCGTTTCTATCGTGGATCACTGAGAAAGGATAAACAGTCTTATAAAATAAAAAGACACGTTACCTTCGTCAGGATCCCACTTCTGACACCAAATTGAAGGAAACCGTCCAGGGCCTTCCGTGGATCGCTTCCTCGAGGCGTGGCGTCTATAGCAGAGTGTCCTTACCTATAAGAATGTCTTATCTGTAACACTCAAATATATTCTCAAGTAAATCAAGATGCCTTCAGCGGGTTAGTTACGACTCGGGAGCAGTTGGGAGAACAAGAAAACAGAGACTGTTCAGATTGTCTTCCCAAATACTCAATTTATTCACATACAACAGTTTATATAGAGGAAAAGGTTCTGGCAGCAGATTTCAGTTTAAACCAGTACAGACCAAATAAGGGAGCGTCTTCCTGCCCTTGGAAGAAGATCCTTTGTGTAGTTTATCAGTTCAGATACAATTTATGATTATCTCAGCACAATTACACTAGGCACATAGAATAAAGAGTTCTTTCATTAGTGAATTCTGAAACAAACCATTCCTGGCCTTTAACAAGCTCTCTTTCTAAGAGATTAAATAAGGAGCGATGGAGTAGGAAGTGATCTCTGTGGTATTTTCAACCTTGAGGTACCAGCCTGTGATTCTCTACACATTAATTCTTGGGTCAACAGAGAAAAGAAACTAACAACAGAAATGGGCCTTATTGAATGACAGAGTTTTCCTGTATAATATCACTATAAAACAATATCCTGTAAATGCTCCCATGGTGCTAAAATACATAACAGTTCCACTCTTTTATTATATTTAAAATAATAACTTAATATAAAGGAAAATCACAAATGTAATAACATAATATAAAGACAAATCATAAATGTGAAGTAAATCATAAATGTAACTGGTCCTTCGAGCAAGCTTAATATCAAAATTCTGCTGAAATACATAACAAGACTCACCTAATGAGATGGCTGGAACTGTTTCTTTTTGGCGAGGTGTCTGATGTCAGGTGGCTGTGATGATGATTGTGCTGCTCAAAGCTGTTTTTTAGCTTTGAGCTCGTACTTGTTTTGCAGCCCAATTATTTCCATTGGAAGGTGTCTGGCACATCAGATGGTTGTATATTAAACAGCGTAGCAAACATGTCCAATTCCTTTTGGATATTCTTCACATCTTGAAACCTCTCCTGCCTGAATGAGTTTTGCACACTCACTGGCATATTCAGTTGGAACGTCAGGCTTTTGCTCTTGCAGGGTGGGAAAGTGTACAGTGTTTCCCTTTTCCAGTTGTCCTTGCCACAGCCTTAACTTCACTTCAAATGATTCCACATTTGAAAGCAGAGAGTTGAGAAGCTGGTTGGGACCTTTCAGCTTGATGTTTAATTCAATTTCAATTCAATTTTATTTATATAGCGCCAAATCACAACAAAAGTCATCTCAAGGCGCTTCATAAAGCTCTGACATGTGCTTGGTGATGTTCACCATGAAGCCAGATCACTGAGGAAATTGCCATCACTGAGCTCAATGACAGGTTTCCCCTTTATCTCCATGAAGCGTCTGACTTCTTCCCACAGTGTATAAAACCGTGCAAGCATATTAGCACAACTCAGCCATCGCACTTCACAGTGATAAACCAGATG